AGAATAGAATAGAATAGAATAGAATAGAATAGAATAGAATAGAATAGAATAGAATAGAATAGAATAGAATAGAATAGAATAGAATAGAATTCTTTATTGGCCAAGTGTGATTGGACCCACAAGAAATTTGTCTTGGTGCAAATGCTCTCAGTATATATAAAAGAAAAGATACATTCAGCAAGAGTCAAGAATCATAAGGTACAACATTTAATGATAGTCATAGGGTACAATAAGCAATCAAAAGAGTATCTCAGAGTATCTCAATAATACTCTGTGGCATTCTGATTAGGAAGCTATAAACTACTTAAATATGGGATAAATTGGTCAAAAATGCAAAAATCATACTCAAAGAATGCTCATCAATGGCTGCTCATCAAACTGGAAGGAAATAGCTAGTGGGATGCCATAGAAGCCATGGTGGCACAATGGTTAAAATGCAGTATTGCAGGCTAATTCTGTTGACTGCCAGGAGTTCAATTCCTTTGATCCTAATCTATTCAAGGTTGACTCAGCCTTCCATCCTTCCTAGGTTGATAGAATGAGGACCCAGATTGTTGGGGGCAATATGCTGATTCTGTAAACCACTTTGAGAGGTCTGTAAAGCACTGTGAAGCAGTATATAAGTCTAAGTGCTATTGTTATGCCATAGGATTTGATCCTAGGACCAATGATTTTCAATATTTTCATTAATGATTTGGTTAAAGAGTTTGCACAACAAATCTGCAGGCTCGAAATTGAATAGCATCATTTAAACCAGAGGTGTCAAACCTGGGTGCTTAAATCTGGCCGTCCTGGAAACAGTGAAGGACTGGTCTGCGGTGCCTCTGCCAGTGAAAACAGAGCTTGGGAGGGATGTGCGTGCCCCCCAACCTCCATTTTAACTGGCAGAGGGTTATAGGAGGCTGTCGCAGCCAAAAACAGAACCTGGGCAGTCCACATGTGCCCCCCCGAGCTCTGTTTTTGCTGGCAGAGTGCTAGCAAAACAAACTACAAGCAAAAGTGCATTTGATCACAAGGCAAGGAAGCATCGAGAAATTCCTCTGCTGGAGGCAATGGATCCCCACAGTCCTGCCCGGGCCACCACAGGTGCCCACAACACGTGTGACTTCGAGCTGGCCATATCCATCCTGGCCATGCCCCCCCAGACCCCTGAGGTCAAACACAACCCTGAGGCGGCCCTCAATGGAGTCGAGTTTGACACCCGTTTTAAACGATAGAATACAAAAAGAAAATTCAAAATTATCTTTACATATCACAGAAGTAAGATAAAAATAAACTTTCCTGCTTATCTCTTTGGGCTATCTGGAATTGAAAGCAACCTGTCAATAAACTAATTGAGATAGAATCCAAACTTCAATACAAAGAGGAAATTACAGATATATTTGAACTTATTCGTGCACCTTTTGGCTAAGCATGAAGAGTTCTGCTCTAAAATGGTAAGAGATGGGCCAAAACCATCACTAGTTGCTCTTACTGTATAACAAGATTTGAATATAAATATTAAAAGACACAATAGATAAGTCAACAATGCAATTAAATTTGCAAAGTTAGGTAGGAAAAACCTTAGCCCAATTCATTAAAAAGTTTATTTAAAGCTCTACTTATATTCTGTCTCTTGCCAAAATTCCTCAAATGTTGTCAACTTCCCTGGAGGTGGTTGTGTTCATGCAGGACCCTGGCTACACAAGCCTATGAACACACAGTTGTACGGGCTCGATTCTTTCCTCTTGTAAACATCACAAGATGTTGTGGTGGGTAAAATATCTGGGATGTTCAAAATACCAAAACAGTGTTCATTTTGCTATAAAATTATGTGGAACCCTAATAGATCTATAAGAGCAAGTATGTAAAGGAGAACTAAAATGTTTGCATTGACACCACAAAAGTAAGACCAGTGAGATTCCCTAATTTCTTTCCAATTCCAATAGATACTAATTAGTTCCTTTCATATTAAAGAAAGTCTATCTGTGATCAGGGATTTTAGCTTATTTGCATAAAAAGTTTAGAATTAAGTTTTTATTTTCTCATTGTTGTATTATTTTAATGGGCTGAAAGCGCCAGAAACTTATTTACAATATGTAATATAAGTAAAGCAGAAGCTTTCCAGATGTGCATCTCATTTCTTAATTTTAATGGTACTTCTCTGGATAGTTAAGGATAATTATTCCAGGAACAATCTGACTTATCAAAGAAAAACAAAGTGTGGGGAAAATATTTCTCCAAACTAAAAGGAAGTGCTTTGTCTAATTCACAGGTGTCAAACTTGTGACGTCATGTTGCCATCACATGACGTATAGCAATGTTTCCTCCTTCAAGGAGCTGGGGTGGGTGTGGCCTACACATGATGCCTCTGGCTCATGGGCCGCCAGTTTCACACCACTGGATTTGTCTTGCTTAGTTTGGGATGATTGCCTTTTTCTACAGTCCCAGTGACAGTCTGTGCTGCTCAAGAGAGTTTCCTGACTTTCTGAAAAGCCTGTTCACAGCCACAAATGTGTAGGAATACTGGTGGCCTGATCTATAAGCAGCCGTACATGAAAAGAAACTTACATATCTGCTTCAACAGAATAAACTCAGTTCAGAATAAACTTCTCGACCCAGCTTATATTCTATCAAAATGGCTTAATATTGGCTTGGAGTAACAGCAACAAAAGGTTAATCTGAATAGTCCTGAAATTTTGAAATTCTGTGCTGTAATAATCCAATTGTATTTATTATATTTTTTCTAGAATTTTTAATTTTAGACCTTTGACTTTCTTCATTTATTAGTTAACAACTGGACTTGTACTCTCTGGGCCTTCCATCTCTTTTTTTAATATCTTATTTTTTAGCATGTTTTTCTGAATGTCCGTTTATAGATCTACCAATCTACATTTCATAGCCCTACGCTATTTTGTGAAAAAAAATATCTTGGAATTACATCTGCTAAACTAGAGCCAAGATACCATTTTGTATTTTATATCTATGTATATAGGAAGTTGGAACGGTGTGATCTAAGCTGCTTCTGCTATTATTACCATGTAAATTCTACTGGGCAAGTTTTTGAAAACATGAAAGCTGATGTCATTTTCCTTTGAATATAAACAAAACTCAGCAAGAGTGTGATCTATTTTTCTGAAGAAAAACTGAAAAAACAAAACTTTGAGAGAGCTAGACATTCCTCTACAAGGTCATAGTTAATAAAACATTTGGAAAACAACATGACACAATTTAGGTTTAAAGGTTCACTTAACTTTGTTTTAGTGTTTTGAATCTGACAAGCTCACATGTCAAAAGATGTTTAAATTGTTTTGTGTTTTGACAATTGATCTGCCAGAATAATTTTTAAGGAGCTTTCTTTTTTCCTTTTTTGTTTCAGTTAAAATTAAAATCCATGCTGACTAATCCTTGGAGTCAATCTGTAATTAAGGGGATTTCAAGAGAGACCACGCACCGTATTAATTATAAAATTCAATATCTGTTTAATACTGTAACAAAAGAATGAATTCCAGGCAACACACCAAAATATGATCACTTTTATATTTGGGTGAGAATGTATTTCACTCCCATTTCTAGAAAAAACAGCTACTTGATCAGTGGTGGGATTCAATTTTTTTACTGCCCGTTCTGTGGGCATGGCTTGGTGGGCGTGGCAGGGCAAGGTTACTGTAAAATCTCCAGTCAGAGGTGATATTTGCCGGTTCTCTGAACTACTCAAAATTTCCGCTACCAATTCTCCAGAACTGGTCAGAACCTGCTGAATACCGCCTCTGCACTTGATGCTTACAGTCATTGGATTTCATATTCTGATATTTGAGCAGCCTAAGCTGGTAATCATATCAAAATCATATTTAAATTCTAAGGGACTTTAGTTCAGGGTTGTAAACTTGTGGCCCTCAAGATCGGGGTCACCAACCTTTTGGACCTCAGGGACCACCAAACTCATAATTTTAAATCCCAGGTACCACTAACCGGTTCTGTGGGTGTGGCCTAATTTGTGAGTGTGGCTTGGTGGTCATGTGACTGGCTGGGCATGGCTTGTATGTAAATATTATAAATATTTATATAAATATTGAATTTTTTATAAAAAAGAGCAACTTTTACCCAAAATCAAAGCAGGCAGGCAGATTGAGTTACTCACAGAATCACAGATTCATTGAGAAATCTATCTGCCATTGGCTAGTTCAGTCTGTCACATAAAATTTGCTTGCAAGCAAACTCACAAAATTAACTCACAACACACCATGTATGTAAATATTGATTTTTTTTATTTAAAAAAGAGTAACTTTTACCCAAAACCAGGCAAAGCAGGCAGGCAGATTGAGTTGCTCACAGAATCATTCAGTGATCTATCTATCTGCCATCAGCTAGCTCAGTCTCTCAAATTTGCTTGCCGTGAGTCTGCACTGAATAATAGAACCTTCAGTCCTAAGGGAGGTTCAGCTGTGCTTAAAAGCAGAGCCGAAGGTCTAAAGACTAGCTAGAAAGTAAGAAATCCAACCATTTCCTGCTTCCTAGCTAATCTAAATTTCCCGGCACAGCAGAACAGATGATGGTCAGTTTAGCAGGCAAGTTTGCCAGGTAAGGAGTGAGTGGACGGGGAGGGTTCCCGCGGGCCATGTGGACTGCACAGCCTTGTGTTTCTGCGCAGACTGGATTAATTCCTTTGGGAGGGGGGGTGCTCTGGGGGTGAGATTTCTCTGCGGCCCACCAAAATTTTCTCATGGTCCACCAGTGGGCCGCGGCCCACTGGTTGGCGACTGCTGCTCTAGATAGTACTGAACTACTACTTTAAATATAATCTCACCACTGATTTTGCTGGCTGGGCGGGTAGAAGGAATTGTAGTTTAGTAACATTTGGAAGGCCTAAATTCACTGGATTGAAATTTGGATTCCTGCATACAAAGTATGCCCTGGGCTTCTAATCTCTGTTTCTCAGTCATAAAGGGAAGACAATATATGTTGTATAAAAGGGTTTTTGGAAATTGTAATTTTCTTAATAAGGAAGTACAGTATACACTTTTTACCAAAGAACGCATCTTACCATTTGTGTATATATATTTGTGTTATGCATAAACTAGTTTTGTTTTTCTCTCTCCCAATTTTGCTTTGTGAATTGGTTCTGCCTATACACACATATGTGCAGACACACATCTGTGCACATATATTCATATTTGTATCTATATATATGAACTGGTACGAGTATACACAGATGTGCCTATATTTCATTTTAAAGGTTAAAACTTTTTAAAATGTTATATTCAATTTACAGTTGATTTGCATAGATTCTTCAATTTCTAATTTTTTTTATTACCAGTGGAATAAGGCTTCAATAATACATGTCCATAAATTTCATAGATGGAAATAAATCCCACTGGGACCCATGGAGCTTTATTTTTGAGCAGACATGGACCTACTTGTGCTATCAATCTACTTAGAAATCTAAACGTAGGTGCTTTGTGAATTGGGATTTTCTTAATTGTCATTTTGGTTTTGCATGGCTAACTGACTAGGATCAAGTGAAAGTGTCTTGATGGACAACAGCTTTTAGAAAAGTGGTGTTTGTTCAGTTAATTCTACTCCTAAACTGAGCTATATTAGTTTACCTTTCAAGTGAATGTTCTACATGCTTTTTTCATTTGCATTTTTTTGCCTAATGAAGGGTAAAAGTTGAAAATGCAACTATTAGGAGAATATTCAAAGCACTGAAATTGAACTCTTTCCTCTTATAAGGATAAGAGGAAAGAACGTCTCTAAGCTTATTGCCTATTGAATAATTCATTTCTGCATAAGTACAATAAAATCAAGCACACTCAAGGACTGAACGATCAGGTTCTGCAAGGATGACACCTCCTAATATAGTCTCTGCTGAGATTTCCAAGTATTTGCTCTGTTTTAATATCTCCCACACAATGGGTCTGCATTCTACTTGTCTTGCCTGGAAGTAGTCATATTTGGTATTGTGCTTAATCCCTGTGCAAGAATCTGCAATCTGAAGAGATCTATAGTTTATACTAGGTGCCCAGTGGCCTTTCTGTTCCTTCCCTATTGTCTCTGAAATCATTGAAATCACCTGCAGTAATGGAGCACAAACCCTAAGAGATTTTACGTCTTAAGAGTCTCACTTAAACAATTAAGAATAAGGGAGAAACAGGCTACTTTGATATTCATATAGCTGAAGGCAACAGAAACCTATCTCACTTATGGATTATGAAGAATATGAAGGTATATGAAGGGAACAGGATCATTGTTAGGCATGTTAATGCAGTGGCTAGGTGGGGAAAAGGATTCTGGAAATGCCTAGAAATAGCTTCAAATACCAAGAATTATATTGAAGCAAATAACTCTGGAATGGACTCTCACTTGGCTGCCAACACTTAGCAGTCCAACAGAGCAATTATGTTGATACAAATAGCAATTGCCAGCAGTATTTATTTGTTAATAGTTTCAACACAGTTCAAAGCTACTGACAATAAAACCCAACTGATTTTGTCACTGTCTGGTATTTTTTGTCATATGGACATAGAATGATTTTGGATGTAATGGAAAAACTCATCAGATACGGACAATACACTCCTACATGTGGCCTCCGATGGAGGTCTGCATGAACAGGTTAAAGTGACCAGTTGTTTTAACAAATTGTGCCAGACTGGAAATCAAGCCAACAGGGCCTTATTGCTTTAGCTGGTTCTGTCTTATTACACTGTGATGATATTCCCAAAAATTAGTTTAGGAAAGTATTTTGGGTAGAATAAAATAAATGTGTGACAGAAAATAACATTCTTTGTTTTTAAAATTTCAAAAAATGGCTACTTTAGCTTTTTCCAACTCTACATCCTCCAGATGTAACTGATGACAACACCCATACAAACCAAATCACATTTGTGCAAATATTTACTCCATTTATGCCATAACATGCTATATAAAGTCTACAATTAAAACTATTACAAACACTCTTTGGTTAGTGGTAGTAATTGGGATCAGAATTTCTGTTGCTAAGTGACGCTATAGTAAAGTACAATTGTCATCGCTTAGTGATGGCAATCCCAGCACTTGCCATTGCTAAGCATGGAGGTCATTAAGCAAGTCACAGTCAGGGAAGATGTGGTACAAGGTGTGTTGTAAACATGGTGGGTCTGGGGGTGGCTGCTGCCAGGGCAGGGGTTGCATGAGCGGCTGTTGCCGGGCAGGGGAGGGGAGGGTGCATGTGGTTTACCAGAGCATCCAGTGGACTTCCCCTTTATTTATGCAAGACGCTGCAGTTGTTTTGACAACCAGTTGCCGAGCACCCAGATTGTGACCAAGTGAACACAGGGATGATGCGATGGCTAGAACTTCAAGTACCATTCATTCACCACCACCGTAACTTGTGGAAAGAATGTTCATTAAATTAAGACTACCTTTACCCCTTCCTGCTATACATCTGTGTTCAAATTTGAATTTGTCAGATTCAGCCCTGCCACTTAGGCAAATGAAGAATAAATGAAAGAAAATTCCCTGGACTTTCACTCTTGCAGCAAGATGTTTGAGATTGCTGAGCATAAAGAGGTGGAGAAGGCAAAAAAATATTTTGGGACAATATTTCCGTTATTCAACAATTTAAAATCCCTAACTGCAGTGCTGTGACCGGAAAGCTGTGGTTGATGAACTTCTACTTACCATCAATTTTTAACATCACAGGAGCCCTTATAAACTGCACCTTAATTTGAATTACAGCACTCTTACTAGAATGTTAACATCTTAGAAAATAGTTGCAGTGTATATTTGAACTACACCTGAAGTTTCTACATTTACAGGGAACACAGGACTTGTCTTCTTTCATTACTCATCCTCTTGTTACTTCTGTATCCATGGATAGTCATGGGGGAAGGCAAAAGACAAATTGGGAATGTGATACCACAAAGCAAAGCTCACCTCTTTTGTATGTGCATCTTGGCATTGCATGCCTTCTCCATAAGGAAAGTGACTTGCACTGTAATATCACAACAATATGTTTATCATTTTGACAAAACCTACACACACACACACACGCACACACACACTTCCAAAAAGCTGTTATCATTTGAGGGACTTTGATTAAAAGTCAGTTGTTCTAGGACTATTTGTGGTGATATCCATGATTTAGTAATGTCTGACACTTATGTTTCTTTATTTCATACTTTTTCTCTAGTATGCTAGACGATGAGCCAAAAGCTTTAAAACTAACTGTTTTATCTATAATGTCTGAATTTGGAGAATTATGGTTTGTTCAGCTGTGACCTGAATCTTACTTACTATTAAGCTAGAATGGATAGTTCCATGCCTTATGGTAATTCAAAAGCAAACAAACCACATTACTGCTTAGGTTTAGTACAATTTCAGCCCATTGATTAGTGAGAATTTCTTAAAACTTAAAACAATATTGTGATCATTTTTCCCTTTTAATCATAGTTTAATAAACCACAGATTCATGAGTTTAGTAGCAAAAATATGGTAGCTGATTTCAAAGTAAAAACATTGGCTGGACCTTGTCACATATAGAAAAAAATAGCTTCCCATTATTCATAAACAGGACCATAAGTCAACAAGCAGGAAAGTCATTTAAATTAATCTGCCGTAACAAAGAAGACACTACATGGTGAGGTCAAGCAACTTGATACCACCTGTTTAAGGTTTTAAAAGTCAAATTATATCTAAGCATAAACATCTATGAGCATTATGAATATCATTTCTGTTAAAATCCATAAAGCTTTTAATTTATTTTGTAGCAAATTATTTACTTTGTACAGCTCACTCTTGTTCCATTTGTACTCTAATAGTTTTTCCAGCTTTCCAGTGGAAAACAGTTGCAAATTCTGATAAAAAACCTTAAATTATATAATTATGATAGTGTATAAGTGAAACCTATTCATGGAGAGCAACAGGGTAGGGTTTGCCTAACTAACTTTGCTTTCAGAATTTGGCGGATGAGTTAGGGTTGCGCGAATTAGAAGTTGGTTTTGTGATATGCAATGAAAGGAGATTTGGTAAATGCAAATATGTGATATCTGCTGTGTCAAGGACAGTTTGAAGCCTTGGGAATACATTAAGGCCTCCCCTTTTACTGTCCCACCCTGCCTAGAAAAAAAAAATCCCTCATTCATGACATTTACAAATTTCAAAGCATACAACACACAAGAGTTGAACTTTATCAGGTAGAGGGGCTCAGGTGCCATTTTTTTTTTAAAAAAAGACATACCTTAGAAATATTTATATAAAACTTGCCCCACCTATGTCTCCTCGGTGTCTACTGGAGACTGAAAGTAGATTCTATTAACTTGGAATGGTATTTCAGATAAGAAGGTCAGAGATCGGTCAGAAAAAGACCTTTGTTATTTAGAGCTTCCTATGTCTTACCTTTGGGGCAAAGAGTTTCGGAAATCACTTAACAGCATTTTTGTACAGGACAAGCAACAATGTATCATTATGCGCTTGAGGTAAATAAAAAAATTAAATTAATTGCTATTTTATTTCAGTCATTTCTCAGTATTTCCTAACTATTATCCAACAGGAATTTTTCTTTAGTTCTGTAGCACATGAAGGCCAGCGTTTTCACTGTATTTTCCACTAAAACCAAGAAAATTTCTCTAGAGTTATCCTACACCAGGCATGTAAAACTGGCAGCCCACAGGCCGGATGCGTCACATGCAGGCCAGGCCCACCCAGTTCCGCAAAGGGGAAAAATGTCACGATACATCAAGTAACGGCAACGTGACATGGCGAGTTTGACACCTGTGTCTTAAACCATTTATACTTCACCAGTATCTGCCTGAAATGAGCAGATTTCCCCTCCTTTTTCCCCTTGCATATTTAGCAATATCTTTGAATCCTCCCTGTTATTCTGTTACCCCAGTCCCTGTAATTACAATAAATCCTCGGTTGCATAGGGACTACAAGCCCCAGAATTCCGTATCAGTGCTGACATATTTGTACCCTCCAGATGTATGGCCCAGCTAATATTGTCCATTAGTAAGCTAGATAGGAATCATAAGTTGTAATTATAATATGTAGTTGCTTTGTGAGATGGGTAGCTATGTAATTAGAGATAGTTAAATAAGAATCAGAAAGGAATCTGACCAAATAAGGCTATGATAGGTAACATACTGATCTTATAAAGCAACTAGACTTTCCAAATTTTGCTAGTTACAGCCTCAGCTTATCTTCACTTAACTGACATACTATCTTTTGGTCATCATGAGCCCCTCCAAAAGGATCAGTCTTTTAATATTACTTTGGAATAAATGATAAAAAATGGGATACCAATATATATTTTGAGTTCTGTTGCTCTGATTGTCTATAAATTTAAATTAGATACATGTTTTTTTAAACATACAACCAAAGGTAATTAGGAACAATACTAGAACCTTTCTACGATATGTAATTTTCTTGTCTTTATGAATAAAGAAATTAATGCTTTGTATTGTATTTCCTCTCTTCAGGCGTAATGATTTGCTAAGATTAATGCCACTCTTTTATACAATCTGTTTTGTTTTCAGAAATACATTTTTCTTGATAAAATCCTTTCCTTAACCACAGGGTCCATTCAGTAAGAATCTAAACAGTAACTACTGTACTTTCAATCTTAAGTGAAACAGACATTTAGACATACAGTTAGAATTAATAATTCAAATGAGTAAATAGTACTATTCATAAAAAGAAAGCACCACGCAAGTATCAGCTGAGTCATAATCCTACTGTGGATGGCTGCATAGGTTTTCTCCTCTTGAAAATGAAAAAAGGCCACTTGGTTTAATAGCCATATTGGGTAAAATGTGTGCCAGAAACACATGGTTTTCAGAAGCAAAAATAGTTTGAGCAATCAATGTCAGCAAAATCTGTTTGTTCCTATTGTAAATAATGTTCAACTTATTTATATTGTGTTAAAAATTACAGTGAGAATTTTAAAATCCTAACCCAGTCTGTACTGTAATAATTATAAACATACTTATTAGACTTGCATATACCTACCATTGCTGGAAAAATGAACATGATGTCTTTCAAAGAACTATAAATCTTGTACATGGAAGAAATACTACAGAGATCAACAGTATGATGTTAATTATTTTAGTTTAGCCAGACTGCAAGTTGCCACATTTATTACAAAATGTTTTAGCACTAATGAAATAAATTATTTTTCAAGTTGTAGCTTCAAATATTTTATCTTTTAAATTGTAGAAAAAACATTTGCCCACATTGTTAAATGACTATAAATTCAAACATATTAATATATAGAATTAAATTAAAGTTTTAAATGAAAAAAACCCAGAATTGGATAAGTTTTATTGATACCCATGCCACCATAGGTTTAAAATATCTAAATGTAGCAACATGGAAAAAGGCTAGATCAATGTAACAAATACAGTTTTATAACGTTAAAAAAGTGAGCTGTGATTTTGATAATGAAAGAATTAATGCTACAAACACATGAAACAGTTGGTGATAAGCTACAGTACATTTTATTTGACAGCTGCCTAAATTTTCCTTTCATCTAAGAGGTTTTTGAACAATCCCATGACAACCAAGCAGACAGTAGATTTATCTCTGTTGCCTCATAAAAGTTGCCTGGGCTCAACTCTTAAGAGTAAATCAGAAGAATAAGCTCAGCTTTATGAATTGGTACAATCCATTTATTAATAGAGACACCTATTTCATATTTCAAAAATAAAACAGAGGTAACATTATATTTACTTCTAAAACCTAAGTCAAGTATGCTAGTCTACTGAAAACAAAGTTAAACAGTAGATATAGATAGGAACTGAGTAAAATTATAGGCCTATTGAGAATGATTTCTCTCTTTTTGTTTTGTTTTCTTTAAACTTGTTAAGATGAATTAAGAATTCCCTCTTTCGGTCTTTTAAAAACGAAATGTAAAATATTGGCACTGAAAAAGCTCTGAAAATATTTAGATCCTGCTTTTCCTCCTAAGGATTTCCAAGGTTAACTACAAACTAGCAAAAAAAAAAAAGCACGCACCAACTTCCTCTACAATGTAAAATAAAAACTGGTAATAAGAATATTTTAAAATTCCAAAGTGAAAGCTCTATTTAGAAACTCCATCCTAAAAATGAAGGTTTTTACCAACTTCCTTGAGAGTATTAATGAGGAAGTAAGATATATCTCTTACTCCATCTCCTTTTTACACAGCTCCTCCCTTTTATCTTTTACAATAAGAGTTGTTTTTAACCTGGGACTCGGAAGAGGTAATCATTAACTACCTGTTTGCAAACATCAGTATCAACAATGTGGTTATTAATACAATAGGTAAATAATTTTCTTAATACATCATATAATATTTGGGGCATGGAAAGCAGATAAGACACTTTTTAAGAACACAGTCACTACCAGACAGACAAAGAGGGGTTTCTCTCCAAATATAGCAGATCTGCAATTCTGCTTGCTATAAAGAATTTGTATCAATTTAATGTTTGGTAGGACAAGATAGCTGGTCAAAATTTGAAAAAAATATTGCTTTGTCTTCTTGCGTTCACACTTGCGTTCACATTGAGAGAGAGGGAGAGAGGGACAGAGAGAGAGAAAGAGAGAGAGAACAAAATAATACCATAACAGAAGGGTGCTGTATCTGTGTTTAAAGAAGAGGTTGTTGGCAAACAGCACAGCTCACTTCTGCTGAAATGTACACAACTGATCTATGCAGCAGAGAAAGCTGGCACCCAGGGCTTACAACCTTAATTTGCCTGCTAGAAGGAATGGAGATTTACCTTCAGAGCACGTTCTTGATTGTTTTTAGCAGTCAGATGTCTAGGGTTGTTTGCAGAAGTCTGGTTCTGCTCTTTCATATGATGAAGCTCCTGCTCCAGCCGTTTGCACTGCAACGAGGAAAGAATCCCATTAAGTAAAGGAAACGGCGTGTATATGTGTGTGTACATACTCATACAGATATACACTCATTCATTCTAAAGAATATTGCACTGAAATCAGATTTCAAATGATTATTGGTCATTCTCTTGCTGGACAGTTTTGCAATCAAGGAAGGATTTATTTTATTGTAATTGTAGTGTAATGTTTACCATAGTACAAAATGTTAAAAAAAAAACATGTAAATTAATGAGGTAATTTTTTATCTATGATAGAAGGGAGACATACTTTACAATATCAGTATATGCATTGAAAATATATCTATTGTAAAATGTAAAAAATGAGAAGACATACTATTATGTGCAGCATATTGAAATACTAAACAGATTCTAGGCATTATACAAACTGTCTCATGCCATTTAAGATGGCAACTATAATGAGTATGCACCAAGAAATTAAACAGTCAAGAAGAAGGCTAAGAAATTGGATATATTCAGCCATCTAATTGAAATCAAATTTCTGGGTAACCTACTGAATGAAAATAATGATAGGATCTTTCAGAAAGAACTGGTGAATAGCCTGAGGACTCTCAACTCCTGCTAGAACAGCAGGTGATAACTGTGGCCCAAGTGCATCTTTTTGGCTGATGCACCAGTTGTTACAGTTTCCAAAGTAGAAGAAATACTCTACATGGGACTATCTGGAAGGTCCCCAAGAAATTATAACTACAGTAGTACAAAATTCAGCAGCCCAGAATTGTTGCAGAACACCAATAATGTGGGAACTGCATTGGTTGCCTGTTTGTTTCTAATTCAAACTGCATAATCAGATTGCTATGTAATCATCAATGATTGGATTGTGAATGAAGGAGCTGGCTTGACATGTATAAGTAAGTAAGTAAGTAAGTAAGTAAGTAAGTAAGTAAGTAAGGAAGGAAGGAAGGAAGGAAGGAAGGAAGGAGATGCACCCAATTACAAATTTAGCAATATCAGCTACAAAGTCAGGGTATAGGGTGGGGTTAAAATTGTCATCTGGGAGTCCTTGATGACTTTCTGATCCTCTGCTCTGCAGATCTGGTGGTGGTATAAACAGCTACTAAGACAGAAAAGCAGAATACATCCATGAATACCAAGAAGCAGTTAGAAGACACAATGAAACTTCTCAATTTCACAACACGTGGGCTGACTCAACCATATTTTTAGCTGGGAAACTGTGACCAAGCTAAAACCAAAAACTGCTAAGGATTTTCTGGAAGTTTGGCATTCGGACAATCAGCATCACTAGATATATAGAGATAAACTATTTTTACACCATTCAAAAGAGAGAATAAAAACCTAAGAAGGAAACAAAAAGATCAGAACACATTCTCTCCAGCAACTAACACCTAGATAAGCAGAGATTAACACCAGACAAACAATCAAGAAGTAAACAATACCCTAATCAAGGAATTACCAAGGAGAGAACCATACTCCCACAATACTAACAAGGCAGGCTATTGTACTGAATATAAACAGGGAGTGACCCGCACCCACCCATTCACTAGCACTAATGATGTTACCTACCTAGGTAATTAAACTTCTGCAAGCAAGTTTAGAGATCACCAAAAACTTCATTGTTCAACCCTGAACAACTGTACTCACCGTTGTAAACTGCACCCAGTTTTATGTATATGTGTGCAACTTCATTCCACTCTCTTCCTAATGAATATTCTCTTTGAAAGGTTTTATATAACTCTACAAATAGCTGCTATACATGTCACTCTAAGCATTGTCCGGGATGTAATCCACTAAAAAGTTATCATAGGTTGCCCAAGAAACAGAACATAGATTATTTAGACAGTCCCTGCCTCCCCATTATAATGCAAACAGAATTGGTAGCTTCTTCTTTTGACTGTGGTCTATTTATAGTAAACATTTCACCCAAGATGAACAATACTTAGAATTACTGTATATATGTAGTTGGTTATTTTTTGGGGGTAGTTATAACCAGAATCAATCACATGTCCTGTATTTAGACCACATATTATGGGTAATTGGTTAGCAGATGCACTAGTCAGGGGCGGGATAGTAAAGGTAAAACTGTGTGCCCACTAGCAAACCTTTGTTGTTACATTCTTATGCCAACATAACCTTGTTCTGACTATTTTGCTTAAAATTATAAAACTACAGCGAGATACCACTGAGAAAGATGACAAAATACAAACTAGACCATACTATCATTAGATGTGTACAGAGCTGGTTGAACAATTCTACTTAGTGAATATTTTAATTATTATTAACCACCCAGATTGTGAATAAAATAAAATAAAATAAAACAAATATATGTCAATAGTTATAGGTATCAAGAGGCACACTGGATTCCATTCTGTGTACTATGTTCTTCAACGTATTTATGAATGTCTAGAAGAAAGACTTAGAAAAGATTATTTTCAAATTTGTTGATGATACAGAGATAGTACTATTATTATAGGATGATATCAAGATTTAGGAGGATCTCAACATGCTGGGATACTGAGCCGAAATTAGCAGAATGAATTTGAAATACGCGCTACATTTGGGTTGGAAAAATCAAAGATATGAAGTAAAGAATGTGGAGATCATATAAGGCAGCAATACATCAAAAAAAAATGTTTTATTTGTTATTGGTATTTCCATGCCTTCCAAACATTTCTAAAGGGCAAGTATTTTGGTAGATCGCAAGCTGAATGCAAACCAACTATGGGAGGTAACTACACCCCCCCCCCAAAAAAAACCAACCCCTACCCACACAAAACAAAAATAAGCAAAAAAACAAAGCAAATGCAATCCTAGGTTGCATTACTAGAAACAAATACTGTCATGATCAAGGTGTCATTATTCCTCTGTATTCTGCATTGTTCATGCTGCATCGAAAATATGGTACAAGGGAGAGAATCAAGGGAATTCTCCAAAAGAGAGAATCAAGTTAATAAGAAAACTGGGAGGAAAAACAGGAAAGGAATAGTTGGATATATTGGGTTTAATGTGTTGGGAAGACTAAAGGGACAGTTCATGTAGAAGATGGAATAGAACTCCTTAGAATTCTTCCAGAAAACAGTACAGGAAACAATTATTTTAAATTACAAGAAAATAAATTTCAATTAGGCATTGTGAAAATTAAATATTAAAATCCAAAATATATGCAATTTAAGCACCTTAATATTGATATTGATCAAACTGGGAAAAAAATCCCAGAATTTCAAATAGTTAAGATGCGATACTTATAGTTCTATATGTATATGGGCCAATCACTCCCTTCTTTCTTCATCTTGTAGGTCCTGCATTTTGTGCATAGAATTTTCTATGCTGCTCACACCATTTTGCCATTGGCAGCCCTTCTGGATATGCAGCCTTTCGTGGGAAAGGGCTGTATAACCTGCTTCTAACAGTTATTTTAACGGGATTGCACGAACTATCTTTTCAACATGGCAGTAAATCCCACTGAAACCAGAGGGGTTTGGAAAGAAACCCATGCCATTAGCAAGAGAAATTAATGATGCTAATTAACAATGATGCAGGAGTAATGCTGTGGAGATGTATTGAATGCATTGAATACTGTATCTCAAGCAGACCGTGGTTCTTAAATGGTGTTGATTTATTTTTAAAATGTCTTTCCATCCAAACTGAGAGTCAACAGACATGACAGACTACAATTCTGTGCCCAACAAAAGAGAGTCTAACAGATTTAAACTACTTTTTATTATTCTCTTCTGCTACTCTTTATTTTCTTTTGGAAGATCTGCACATTAAGATAATTCATACCTCAAAGATTCCTAAAGGAAAGCAAGTATTTTTCACTGTGATTTTTTTTTAAAAAAACAGTCGTCTTCTTGTCCCAAATCCACCATGATTGCCTAAAGGGCAAATATCTCACCACTTGGATGCTACACAACTCTTTCCTTTGCAGACAAAAATAATATCAAACGCTTCCAGTCAAAACACAAACCAACCTTTGGTGTCAATGTGAGTTATGTACTTTGAATAGCAGATGTTTGGAAGCACTTATATTTATCTAAATTGATTTTATTCTTTTTCATGTAGAAGAAATGGATTTTCCCCCCTCTATTAAATGATGGGTCTAGATAGATTTATTTAATTAGGTCATAATTCTGAATTAAAGTTTTTTTAAAAAATGTAACAACTTTATAGTTCTGGCAAGCAGTCAACAAGAATGTTTAACTGATTATTTTTTCAGTGCTCAGATGTATTGAATCTCCTGGATTTCCATGAAAAAAAGAAGAAATGAAAAAGAGCTTTGGTAAAGGTCAGGCCCCAGGAACATCTGCTTTTTTAGAAATTTATATTTGATTAGGAAGACAAACATTTTGATTTAGTTTAAAAAAAAGGATGCATTTGTAATATTTTGCCAATCAGAAGCCAGAACTAATGAAATCCTTCTTTTCATTACTCCTCTCCAGTCAGAAATTGAAGCTGTCAAGAAGACCAAGAAATGTAATATATTTGGTTCCTTTCTAATAAATATAAAATTATGTGAAAAGTCATATAAAAGCACATTCAAGAAAGTTAGGAATTTCTCAGGAGCAAAATTTCACAGATAATTTTATTTGCAAGAAAATGAGCAGATCTTCCCTCTCAATAAGAAATAGAGGAAAGCAATTATCACCAGTGGTATGAATGGATCATATTTGTCTTAGATACTACAAAAATTCTCAGTTCTCTTCAGATTCAGCCAATTCAGAACAGATCCAAACCCACAAGATGTGAGGTTCTGAGCTTCTCCATTGATTATCAGGGACAAACAACAAAAGGAGGTAACGTTTGCATATATGATTTGAGCAATTTTGATGAAAGAAGACTCTACCTGTTTGAAATCTGTGATGGGAAGCTACGGCCAGAGGTCCCATCACCCCACTAGCTCCATAAGGGATGGGACACATGACAGATCTTTTCAATGCCTCCCCTCCCTTTAGAACACCTTATATCCAGGAATGAGGGTATCTCCTACCCTCCTGCCATTGAAGAAGCAAGTTAAATTGCATTACT